AAGAAATACATAAGATGAATAGTGTAATATATATTAGTAATTGATTTGTGTCCCAAATCCTTCACACAGGAAAAAAAATGTACATATAGGACTACATAACTTCACTGGTGAATTTTGCCACACATTTAAAAGAATATCAATTATATGAAAATTCTTCCAAAAATTGAAGACAAAGTCATTTAAAAAAATACAACCACAGAAAATATTCCTCATGAATATCGTCAGAAAATCTAATAGTTGTATTAGAATTATATAGCATGCAATCCTAACAACATTGAGTGAGTCTTGCCAAGTTGCTTACATGTGACTATATATTATATATACATATATATTATATCACATATAATCCATTGATTCTTGTCAAGTTGATTATATGAGGGGCACCCCCAAAGACCCCAGAATTATAATTTAGAGAGCAGGCTCCTTGTAGTATAGGTTTCTCCCAATAGGTAAGTGTTCTAGGAACCCACTGGGATCAGTACACCAACTTGTGTTGTTGTGAGAGGCTGTGTTTGGCCTCAGTGAGTTGTTTTTTAGATTCTTTCTGTGTGTTTGCTCATTCCATGATAGGTGGTTTAGGTGTTCCCCTGCCCACCCCACACTCAGTGTTCAGCAGTTTTTGACCCAAAAAGTTATGACCTCCCCTTATCATACCCTCCCTATTCACCTGATCTCACCCTGAGAGATTTTTTGTTGTTTTTTCAAGTGAAAAAGTTCTCAAAAGGAAACATCTTGCCGATGTAAAATAGAAGAAACCAAAAATGACAGAAGGACTAAAAGTCATCAAAATTGGTGTGTTCAAAAACTTTTTTGAGCAGTGGAAAAAGCATCTGGATAGGTGTTTGGAATGGAGAGTACTTTGAAGGTGACTGAAGTTTAAACAAGCAAGAATAAATTCACAACTTTTTATAAATAAATTCCATTTTTGAGTCCCCCCCTTGTATGTTGTATAATTCTAATGTTATATGTTATAAAAATATGACAATAGATAATGACCAAAATAAGGTTTGTTTCAGGAATGCATTGTTAGTTTACCTTAGAAAAATTGATATACTATACTATGCTAACAAACTAAAAAGTCATTTAAACAGTCATAGATAAATAATTTGATAAAATTCTATATTCATTGCTGAAAAAAACTCTGAGCATGCTAGGCATAGAAAGGAACTCACCTTGATGAATGGCATCTAATAATAATCTACAGATAACATAATACTGAAGTTTTAAAACCTGAATGCTTTCCTGCTAAGATCAGGAAAAAAACAAAAATATTCACTCTCCCCACTTGATTCTATATAATACTGGAAGTTCTAGCCAATGAAATACATCTACAAAAAAAAGAACAAAAGACATCAGATTTGAAAAGGAGCAATAAAACTGTTTATATTTGTAGGCAACATCATCATCATCAAAGTAGACGATCCAATGAAATCTACAAATTGTTATTGGAATTAGTAAATAAATTAATAACGTTTGTATGATATAGTATGATATAGTATGAATACAAAAATTAATCATATTTCTGCAAACCATAAATTAAAATTTAAAAAATTATTTTAAATTTAAGAATGTGATATACTTATTGACAAATTTGACAAAAGATTTGTAGGATGCATACTCTGGAAACTATACAACATTGCTGAAAGAAATTAAGAAAAAATGAAGAGATACAATGTGTTCATGAGTCAAAAGACTAAATACTTTCCAGATGTTCATTCTTCTGAAATTGGTTTACAGATTCAATGCAACATCGATAAAAACTACTTTTTCTTTTTCTTCCTTTTTTGGGTAGAAATTGACAGATTGATCCTTAAATTTCTGTGGAAATTCAAAGACCTGAATTTGCCAAACCTCTCTGGGAAAAAAGGACAAAGTTAGAACACTAAAACTAAATGATTTCAATACTTGTAAAATTACTGTGTAGTGTTGTGCTAAAGAAGACAAATTGATCAGTGGAACAGAATAAAGTCCTGAGATAAAGCACATCTATATAGATTACTGATTTTTTAAAATAAAGTTTCAAAGACAAATTAGGTAAGAAAGGACTCCCCCCGCCCCGAAGTAATTATTCTGATGTATTTCTTGTATAGGAGAAATAGGTCTGGACTGTCTTTCTACTCTTTGAATTCTACAGCAGACTTGAGGTTTTCTTAAGAATGGATTTCAGTTAGCATTTTCAAAAAATGTCCAAACACTAGTAACTAGTCATTTTGGATTTGCTTTAGATGACAATTGTTTTGGGTTATGTTTTGTGGTCCCCCATAGGGGACTTTGTTTAGTAACATTTTAGAGCTTGGTTACAAAGACAATATATGTAACCAATTCTTGTTACTCATTTTGGGGATATTCTGTATCAATACAATTCATGTACTTCAGATATATAAATTATCCTGCATAGCTCTACATGTCACAAACCAAATACGCCACCATATTCTTCCCCAAATTTATAAAAGGGATAGTTTTGAAAATAATCAATCCCATTACACTGGAATACTCAGTGTCCTAGCAGTACACACTAAAAACCTCATATTAAGTCTTAATCTACTTGCAATATTCAAGCCTGTTGCAGACCTATTTTTAATTTCCAATTTGTTTTGTTTTGTTAGTGAAAGCAACAGAAAGGCTTTTAAAAAATTTATTTATTTTTAGAAAACTAGTCCAGCAGATTTTCTCACATTGTCTCAGGACTGTGAAAACAATTGATGTTTTTGTTGCATATATTCTAGATATTAAAAACAAACAGCCTGGATTTTTTTATATATAAATTTTTAAATTTCAGTCTCTAGGGAAATTTTTTTTCTATCTTCTTTTGTTTTGTAATTTCAGTAGGTTCCCTTGTGCCTTTATTGAGCAAAAAAATAAAACGGTAACTGTAGCTTAATTAGAATCAAGGAGTTTGTTAAATTTCTCTACTTAAAGACTGCTGTTTTTCCTAGGCTTTAATATTTGGTATAACACATCTGATTAAGTATTAATGAAAACAGTTAGAAATTTAACCAGACTGGAGCAAATGATAGAGATACATTGGAATTTGTTCGCATATAAATCCTAAGATGTGTAGCGAATATGATGAACTTAAGTGAAAGTGGAAAATATTATAAAACATAAATAATTCTCACATTTCTTTATTTGAATACTTTTCAAGAAACTTTGTATTTAATATAACTGAATGATGCCTTGAAATGATTATAACCACCCTTAATTTAGTCTTTGTAGCCTATCAGGTACCATAACAGAAAAACAAATCCAGTATACTGTGTGTAAGGTAAGATAATTTTCTCTTTTTCTGCAGCAGAAGTTAAGACAAAACTTTGTAAGTTCTAGTAATGGAATTAAGTTCATCTTTAAGTTATCTTGTTTGATGCATTCCTTTTGATAAAGAAGTAAAGATTTATACTATATAGGTATATGTAAAATGTAATCATATGCATTTTTATAAACAAATGAGCCTCTAATTTATTTTAAAAAATCTATACAGCTTGTAGTTGCATTGGATGAATCATGAGGAAAAAGTTAGTCAGCAGCTATTATGATTGGTAGAACAGTGATGAAATAAAAAAGTGTCTTTGCTAGTTATATTTAGTCTACCAAATCATAAAAATTCCAGAGATAATGCATGAAAAGGGTAAATTTGTATTTATTACAGTTAATAATATACACATGTTATTTATAGTGATATATGTATTGATATAGTGTGTCTATATTTTATTGCAATATTTGAAGAGTAGTGAAAAACCCACAAAATAACAAAAATTGATACATTTTTATGTTGCAAGCATTACTATACATGCGTTAACACAGTATTCATTACATAAATACAAATTAAGACTAGAAAAAAATCAGAAATATTTAAGACAAAGATTCTAGGGATTCAATCACTTTTTAAAAAATACATATAAATAAAGGAATATCAAGTTATCTAGAAAAGCAAAGAAATATGTTTGAAAAATTGTATTAAAAAATAAAAAATCACTAGGTGGCATTTGATTTTTTTCCTTGTATATTATAAAAGGAAAACAAGAAAATAAAAGAAAATCCTTCTGAATAATGCCTGGCAATTCTGAAAATTGATTAACACACAGAAGCCTTTTTTTAGTGTAAAGAAAATAATGAATAAAAAACTTATGTAACTATGGAAAATAGCTGCAATATTAAGCAGTAACAAAAACTGTAAAGAGTATTTAAAGTCATTTTGCATTTCATAATAAGGTATGACTTTTCACAGCATTTGCACAAGAAAGAAATATGAGACTTTATCCATATTTATATATTTTCTCTTTATTTCATAAATATTCTATAGCATTTATGAATTAAAGAGAAAAGGAAGACAGAAAGCAGGAAGACCAATTCCAGTTTTCTGCTTGTTTTCCTTCTGTCATACAGGATTGAGGCATTGTTAATGACTTACTGGAAAGTTACTTAAGTGTTGAATCTAAAGGCAATTGATAAAGTATATAATTAGGCAAGCAGATGGCATTAGAAAAACTGAAGGAAAAGTAATCAAAAGTAAGTAAAGGAAATATGAAATGTAACTTGATGATGGATAGACATTTTGGATAAATGAATATAAAATGAAAGTTGATGATGAATTAATATATAGCTTAAGCTGTGAATTGCTTGAGATATTAGATGAATTAAGATATTTGAAAATGTTAAATATTTAAACAGCTTATTGGGATAAAGTGCTTGAAAGATGGATCATAGATTAACCCTAACCCAATAATGAAACAACATTTTGAATGAGTGATAAACCTTCCGTGAAGTGACAAGTAGGACGTTTTCAATGCTTGTCAAGGGCAGAATCTCAGCATTCTTCTAAACACGACTGATGAATTGGAGGATATGAACTCTAAACTGATTTGCCCAAACACTTGCCCAAACACTTGCACATAGGTAGGTTTCTGAATATGAAACTTTCTGTGGCTGAGAATTAAGAAATGTACTTTCTTGCTAGTGATGTTAGTACTTGTTTTCTGCAGATTTGATAGGACAAAAGAAAAATGAAGAACCAATCAATGGCGATAGAGTTCATTCTGCTTGGACTGACAGATGACCCTCTACCACAGATTGTGATTTTCCTGTTTCTATTTTTTAATTATGTTTTGAGCCTAATGGGGAATTTAGTCATCATTCTCCTCACGCTGCTTGTTCCCCATCTCAAGACTCCAATGTATTTCTTCCTACGAAATTTCTCCTTCTTAGAAATTTCATTCACAACCGTCTGTATTCCACGATTCTTGGTAAGCATTCTAACCGGAGACAAAACCATTTCCTACGATGGTTGTGCAACTCAGTTATTCTTTTTTCTTTTATTAGGAGTTACTGAGTTTTACCTTCTGGCGGCCATGTCCTATGACCGCTATGCTGCTATCTGCAAACCGCTACATTACCCCATCATTATGAGCAGCAAAGTATGCTATCAACTTGTACTCAGCTCTTGGGTGACTGGATTTCTCATCATTTTTCCCCCTTTGGTTTTGGGACTCCAGCTGGATTTTTGTGCTTCCAAAAATATTGATCACTTCTTATGTGACTCTTCTGCTATTCTGCAGATCTCTTGCACAGATACACATTTCATAGAATTAATGGCTTTTGTCTTAGCTGTGGTGACACTTGTCATCACATTGTTGTTAGTGGTCCTCTCCTACACGTACATCATTAAAACCATTCTAAGATTCCCTTCTGCTCAACAACGAGCAAAGGCCTTTTCCACCTGTTCCTCACACATGGTTGTTGTCTCTATTACTTATGGGAGTTGTATCTTTATATATATGAAACCATCAGCAACGAAAAGGGTAACTTTAACCAAAGGAGTAGCTGTGCTCAACACCTCTGTTGCCCCTTTACTCAACCCCTTCATTTATACACTAAGGAACCAGCAGGTGAAAGAAGCTCTCAGAGATGTGCTTCAAAGATTTTATTTTCAAAACAATGAGGCGACATTTGGATGCAAATAGCATGCCACGGGAACATGGATGGGAAAATTAGTCTTCAATTACATATCTTAGTTGAGATCTCTGTCATTTCACTTCTTAAGTATTTATATCATTTTAGGTTTACTAAGTCTGTCTGTTCTCTACAGCCCCCCGTGTTCTTTCTGAGAGCTTCCTACTTTCCCATAGTAAATTGCTTTCTTCAACCCAGAATATTAAACTTCATACTTGCCTATAAATATTTCCTCTCAAAAATGATAATTTTATCTTCTGAATGCTTTATACAAGTGAACTTGGCTAGATATATTTAGATAATTATTTCAATATGTGCTAATTGCTAAGCGTTGCATCTGCTCGTAAGTATTTTGCATTGCTAAAACTGTCAGAGACACAGAACCTGATAATTATTATATGAGGTAATTGACTGTGTTGGAAAATAGGTAGAACATCTGATTAATTTTAAAGATCTAAGTAGCCTTCAAAGAGAAATCATCACTTATAATGAATCTTGCAAGATGAATAAAAAATTAATGGTTCAAGAGTGCTGTGATCATAAGTATAAAATATGCAAATAAATTAGAGTGTACTGAATGAGTTTTACTTGGAGAGTTTCGATGATTAAGAAAATACTATTTTAAAACTGTATCTGTTGTTGTTTGTGGTAGAAACAATTTAACTCAAACTTTGGTTCTAATTGTGTATATTGCTTTATATAATGTCTGAAATCTACAAGTGATAGCAACCCATGAAATACATTCAAGGTATAATTTACTTATATCCATGTTGGGGAATTTTCTACATATTTAAAGCAATTTATATATTAAAAGTTTCCTAATCAATTCTGCTTGTGTCAATTTTCACCTATTTATTTAAGTATATCTTACATACAATGGCATATGATAATTTTAAATCAGTGCATTTGGATAAATATTCATACTGTGTAACAATAAAAGTAAACAACATTTACATCATGCTAAATCATTCCCTTTACCTCTTTCCAGTCATTTTCCTGCTCCCACTCCCACCCGCATCTGCCACTGGATTGAGGTATCCACTGATATTCTTTCAGTCATGATAGATCAGTTTTGCCTTTTCTGGAATTTTGTATAAAAGAAACCACACTGTGTGAATGTTATGCCTGGCTGCTTCTGCTTGACATGTAATTTCTGAGTTTCACCACTGCTATTGCAAGCATCCATAGTTCATTCTTTTTTACTGATGCAATTTAGCAGAATATCCTGTGTCCTTTTTTTCATAGCCAGCTTTCATTCCCTTATTCCAATACTTTGGTATTTTTATTCTCTAAGGGATATCTTCACACAATTGAATAATTTATTTTGATCAGATGAAAAGTGATTACAGTCCATATCCTGAAATGCCATTCCCTGCAGACCTCTACACTTGCATAATATCCTTTAGAATTAAGCTGTTTGACAAAGGGGAATTAGCGGGAAGGAGTTCTCCTATGTCTCAGTGACTCTTCTATTCTCATTTTCTGAGGCAGTGGAGTTCCAGAAATGTCCTTGGAGGAAAAGAAGGATTCATGTGGGGGAACTCCATTTTCTATCTTGTTTATCATTTGTGGTTTATTTCAGCCCAAAATGAACACCTTCTTAAGCAGCATGCTTCGATATTCAACTTTCTTTTGAAGAATTGGAGGAGTAAAAGTTTGATAACCAGGGAGAAGTTTGAGAAAACCAATACTAAAGATTTCAGGTCAAAGTCCTGAAAAGAATGGTTCAGGAAAGCTTAGTGGGAAATGGCAAATATTTTCAGTAATTTCTGGAAAAGAGCATGCCAATAGTCTTAGCAGTAAAGTAGGTAGTTCTCAAACACTTAGTGAGAAATTACTATAGATTTCACCTGTGCTCTCTAGACTGACCACAGATAGCCTCTGCTTCTCTTTCAACTTCTAAATTTTGCCCAAAGTCCTCTCTTATTGACAAACCATACTGGGAAATGAACTTTCAGTTTCTCCTCTGTACTTGGAGAACAATTCAGAAAGTTATATGTGACGTTGGGTTGACAAAAATTCAATGCAGATTCTTTTAACCAGAGTCATGGTCTTAGACATTGCAAATCATTGCTTTGTAACTAGCTCTACTAAAGGGTGATATCAATTTTAGGGACAAGTTAGGAGAGAAGAGATGCATTTGGCATCTTCTTATTTAATTTACCCTTATTATTATATAAGACTATTTCAAGTTTCTGACCATTATGGATGCTTCAATTCATGAAATTCATTCATGTTACTTCAGACTCCTTGGTATCCTGTTAGAGAGTATGGTTCTACGAGGCACAGAGAATAGCTTTCAGATGGAGGGAGAACTAAGAAAGAGAGCAATAAACATATGAAAATATATTGCCATTAAAGTAATTTAATTTTCCCGTAAATCTAAAACAGGTTTGCAGTTAAGACTTATATATTTATATTAAAGAGAGAGGAAGTCCTCTGCTACAAGCCCCTCCAGGATAAATTCTTTTTTACTCAGAAATCTCAGATGCTAGAGAGAGAACTAGTTTGTTCATTCATACATTTCCTCAACAGGTAGAACTCTAAGAACCTGCAATACTTATGGAAGTGGACATAGCAGACATATTACTGGAAACTAAATGTTTATAGTTTCATTGATAGTAGAGTGTGATGTACATATGGTAAAAGTGTCATAGGAGAAGTATATTTGTATCTTAAAACAAGTGGACAGAGAATCTTAAGAGTTTAGAGCATAAGGGACATTTTCCTTTATTAACTGTCCAAATTATTAACCATAAGGAATTTAAGTTTCAACTACTAAAAAATGAAAGCTCCTTTCCAGTCCAGGAGGGCATTGATAAAACCAAGCAAACTGGCACTTTTTAGGCAAACATTTTTTCCCTATAGCTTCATAAACTTTGGGAAGACTGCTCTGTAGTTATACTTAAACAAATTTTGATAGTGTGACTCCCATAAATGAATAAAATGGTTCAATTCAGTATTGCTCTTTTAAATATCTAAACAATAATCTTGTTTTCGGGTGAGGGGAGTTAAAATGCTTAAAGATGAAGCTGTTTAGGCAACCTCCTCGGGTCTCTTCCCTCTGTGGGAACTTTCCTGTCCTCTCAATAAATCCTGCTTAAAAAAAAGAGATGAAGCTGTTGGAAGAAATGGAAAACAGAGCTCTAGGAGTAGAACATTTTTAAAAACAATAAAAACATTTTTAATAATCTAAGATTCTAATAATTATTCAATGATAGTGTAACCATACTTTTAGTAATAAATAAAAATAGCTTGCAAATCTGAATGTTAAGTGAGAATTTTATGTTGCCCGTAAATTATCATAAAGCTGCAAAATATAAGGCATAATATATAATATTCAATAGTCTCCAATAACTGGGACCAGATGCATTTATTTAGTGCTTACAAAGAGGTGTCAGTATTGACATTATAACAAGAGTTATAATTATAACTCTAATTTATTTGCATATTTTATACATATGATCACAGCACTCTTGAACCATTAATTTCTTATTCATCTTGCAAGGTTCATTAGAAGTGATGATTTCTCTTTGAAGGCTACTTAGATCTTTAAAATTAATGTCTTTAAAATTAAAATTAGATCTTTAAAATTAAAATTAATGTTTGTTTGTGGTTATAATGTCAGTCATTATAACCACAAACAAAAGGAATGGGAAAAAGAAAATATGTAGTTCTATCGTATTCCTGAAGCCAAGTTAATAGATGAAATATCTGGACAAAGAAGACGTACCTGTCCCAGCTGGAAACTTGCTGAATCATCAAATGTGCAAACACACATTAGTGCTACTAAAGAAGAAGAGCCTGTGTGTTTTTTTTCCCCCCAGGATCAGAATCATTTAGCATAAATTTGGCATGTGGAAAAGGAAATGGAGTTGAGTGAAAGGTTTTGAGAAATAAAACTTATATCAGCTAATGATTTAAATTGACCCTATATTGATTGGAAATGTAAATTTATTACATACAGTATTTATTAACTATGATAATTCATTTTGGGCCAATGCACGTTTTAAATGCTTTGTTGTGGTATGGTATGCAGTGAACTGCATATATTTATAGAATACAATGTGATAAGCTTTGGCATGTATACAATATTTTATATTTTGTAAGAGTTATATAAAGTTGAAACCATCACCACAATCAAAATAATGAACCGAATTTCACCAAATGTGAGAGAAAAGCTGGTACCGATCTTATGGAAAGTCTTTCAAAAAAATCGAACAGAGACTCCTCTATAAATCCTTCACTGAAACCAGTATTACTAGGATACCAAAATCAGTCAAGGACACAACAACAAAAAAAGAAAACTACACGCCAATATCCTTGATGAACATAGATGCCAAAATCCTCAACAAAATATTAGCTAACTGAATTCAACAGCACAGCAAAAGAATCTATCATAATTTATTTCTTATTGCTGACTAATACTCAATTTCATTGCTAAACCACGACTTATTTATGCATTTACCTGATGATGGGTATTAGAGTTATGTCTAGTTGTTTGTTTTTATAACTAAATCTGCTGTGAACATTTCAGTACAAATCTTTGTGTGGTATATGCTATCATTCTCTTGGATAAATACCTAAGAGTGTAATCGTTGGGTTACAAGTGGGCATATGTTTAACTTTTTTTAAAAGTGCCAAACTGTTTACTTTGATGGCTATACAATTTTGCATTCTTACTAACAGTGTATGAGAGTTTCCAGTTGCTCTACACCTTTGCCAGCACTTGTTCTGGTAATTTTTTTTTTTTTTTAAATTTCAACATGGAGAAGGGTGTTTAATTATCCCTTACTGTAATTTCGATTTTACTTTGCTGGCAGTTAATGATGTTGATCATCTTTTTATACTTACTTGTCAATTGCATATTTTATTTGGTAAGTTTGTTGATTAAATATCTACCCATTTTTATGTTTTTAAAAATTATTTTTACATTTTGAAATTTTTAAAAACTTTTTTATTTTATTTATTTATTATAGAGATGTGTGGTACAATTTAGGGTTAGGCATAT